GTTTTGATAATATGACAGGAATGTTTGAATATCTGCCATTTATTAAATTCTGTATTCTATTGTAAATAGAGAATATTTTAGTTTTATAAAAAAGTTATTCTTTATAAAGTTGTGCATATTACAGTTAACGGGTAAAGAGCATTTTTAATAAAATTTATTAAAACAAATGAAAATTGTACAAGATATAACGTACCGGATTTTTTCGGTAATAACGGTTTGTCCTATATCCGACAACACTACAAGTCCCATGAATAAAGTTAAGTTGCAAAGTTGTAGTTAATAAAAAGATCTACAACTTCTGTCTTTACACTTTTTTTATACAATCTTGAAATTTATGCAAAAAGTTAAAATAACCAAGTTTTAGCTTTTTTATTTTTATCTCCCACAAAAGAAATGTTTTTCATGAAATTTGGTTAAAACTTACATTTTTATGTTCCAAACACACTGCAAAACTTTCAATCGAAAAATCCCACGTCAAAATATCTGCTTTTTAAAAAAAAAGTCTTAAGCTTTTTGTTCGTTGAAATCTCTACTTTCTGATGGTGTAAAAATTATACATTACTATGGCAAATTTTCTCAGAAAATGCAAAACAAACTTTTTACTTTTTGTCAGTTTTTTAAAATTTCAGCTATTGTCGGTTTCAAGTTCCATCCTGTTACTATTTTTTTGGTCTCAAAAATTGTCGGCGCTGGTCTAATTTGTTTGGCATTTTGAAAAGATATCAGACAAAACGAAAGCACAACACTGTTTTATAATTTTGACAGAATGTCGTCAACGTCACAAAAATTTTAATTTGAAACGTTTCTCCTAGTTCCCCCTAGACATAATACAGCATCTAGCACATAACACAACATCTTTCATAAAAAACTCACAACATTTCTTGCAAAAACTAGCAGAAATAAATTATAATTCTAACAATATACTATTCAGTTTTGGTGTTAACAATCTTTTCACCAATGTACAATTGGAGAAAACTTTAAAAGAATCAGAGGCTAACGAGAGAGGAAGGATTAGCCATGGGCTCGTCCTTATCTCCATTACTAGCAGATATATTCCTGGAGGATTTAGAACAAATTATTGTACACAAACAAGACAAACAACCCACAGTATGGTGGAGATATGTAGATGAAGTGTTCTCCATTTGGCTCCACGGACCAGAAACATTGGATAAATTTCTGATGGATATCAGCAATAAAGTAGAATCAATCAAATTCACAATGAAACAAGAAAACAATAACTCACCTTCTTTTCTGGATGACACATGGTATGCATCCAAAGGCTACAGAAAATCAACCCACTCCAACAGATATTCAAATTACCACTCCAAGCACAACGTAAACATCAAAAAAGGAACTAACAAAACATTATATGATAGAGTCCAAAGCACCTGTTCTAATGAAGATGCTAGAATGCAGGTAGAAAAAAACCTGCTAACAAAGATTCTGACTAAAAATGAGTACCCATTATCATTTATACACAAGGAATTTCACATGATTGAAGCAACACAACACCATAAGCAATCCAGAAACACACGAGAAGGGACTTAACTATGATAACAATAACACATATAGAGGGTAGGAAGCAAGTACAACATCACAACAACCAACTCATTGAGGTCCATCCTATCCAAAACCAAATCCAATAACACACAAGAAAGATAAAAAAAACTGCATCTATAAAATACGCTGTGAATGCAACCATTTTTACGTGGGAGAAATCGCAAGACCGTCAAGTGTCAGATAAACAAGCATGAAACATACGTCATGAATAGAAGCGGCTTTCATCCTTCTCAACGAAGAAAAATGTGTAGCAAATCCATCAGCAGAATGCAGCAGGCTTTGGTTGCCAATACTAAAAAAAGTCAACAACAAGAATATACCAATAAAGGTCGATTCAGACACATCAGTCACGTCTCGTCACCATCTCGTCACAGTGATTGCGCCGAATCGAACAATCCGTCATACAAAATATTCTTTAATACAAATATGGCGCCGGCATTCACACTCATCAGTTGACGAACAGTTTGCCAGCTGTCAGATAGTTGATAGTTCTGTGACCAAACAGGACCGGTTCGGTACCGTGACTGTGACGTGACTGATGTGTCTGAATCGACCTTAATAGCGGAGTAATAGAAGGTCGAAAAACATCATATAAAATCTTACGCACAATACATATGCAACACACAATACAAATAAACACAAACTTATTGTTTTTACTCAATTTACGCACTCAACAATAATTACGATCCAGTTTTTTACAAAAATATAACACAAAATCCACAAAACAACAAAAATCTTATATTTCTGGGGTAAAAGCACCACCCTCAAATATTGTACAGCTATTATATGATGTTGCATACAAAATCGAGGTCCAGCATGTCAATTCTGTAATGACATAACCAATAACAAAATCTGTGGGTGTACATTTTTCAGAATTTATATAATAATCTTTTTTGAAAACGATTTCCGGAGTGAAAATCGAAACGTCAAACATTTGTTAATTAAAATGTGATTTTCATTACATTCGATAATTGTGGCATGCCACAAGAAAGTAGCTTCAGAACCTTAAACCTTATTACACTTTTCTCTTTTGAGGAAGCTGTTGTATTCAAAACGTATTTATCAAGTTAACGATATTCTATGAAAATTCAAAAACATTGTTGTTTTTCTATTTTCAATTTCCACCAAGTAAGCGTTAATCCAATAAATAGTTTCAAAAATGTAAGCTTTAAATAGAAAATGTTTTTTAAACGTCTAGATATGTTTTCCTTCTCCAAATTTCATTCTATTTATGACACGTGACATAATACCAACATGTTGTGCTACTTGTAAAACCAATAAACAAAATTGGATTTTTTTAATCACCGAAACTAACTTAATGAAGCTCCATCAAAACATTTAAATCCCATTACGAAATCAAAGTGGTAACCAAAGTCCAACAACAAATCGTCGAAAACAAAGTAATTTGACTTTTTCTGAGATTGTTTATGTATTGTCTCTAAAAAGTAAAAAATCAAATCAATATGTCTAGGAAATTTTGATGAATTATGATTAATTATTTCTATTTGTGTAATTATTTGTATTCAAAATTTGATTGATACGTAACATTTAAAATACCAATTCCAGTGTAATAATAGCCCAGTCGTTAGAGATTTGATCTGTAAAAACGAAACAAACAAGCTAAATCTTGCTAAGAGTGTCAATTTTGGGACCTCAAAAAAGATTCAAAAAGTGTGCCACTCCTCGGCGGGCTTTCCCCTAAACTCTCACTTGTAGGAATGGAAAAAGGAAAACATGGATTTACCAAGAGTCTGTACGCCATAGAGAAAAAGTGTTTGAAACAAGAAATATAGCCGAGATCATTTTCAACAAAAATTGTGAGTGTTAAAAAAACAAAAAAAGTGATAAATTTTATTGATCTCATGAGAATCATAACAGTTTATAAAAATCTCGCAACTTTTATTTGACAGCTTTATAGAAAATAACTTCATTTGTGGTCTACATAATAAGAAAACCGGTAATATATCTTATAAGTATGCTTAAAAAGACGGGATGAGTAGCAGCTGCCACGCTCCAAAATTTCATCAAAATAGTCCCTAACTTCGTTCCTATTGGTCATAGGTTTTTTACTCTGGGTTTTTTTACCAGCTATCCAATGGTAGTACGTACAAGTCTGTAGCTTGAAAAATATAGAAGTTACAATTGTTTATAAGCAAAAAGCATACCCCTTTTCCAAACGTTTATTTTGTAATTGATGGATTCGACCGTTACTTGATGGAAATTCATTGTATGTAACAATAAAACACTGAAAACTTTGTTTTCAAACTTCCACAAAATTTATTTTAAATATTATCACTACAGCTGTTTCTGCTGATTGCCTTTCTCAAGTGATCTATGATCTATTTAGGCTTGGGTTTGCAAATTTATAGTCTCTAATGAAATAGGTTGAGGAGAGGAGAACTGTTTGTCTCAAGTTGGTCATTCAGAATTATATCTGTGTTTTTTAATTTGTTGATTTCCATAGATTCTAACAAAGATAGCTTAAGGCCTTTATTTTGAATGTGAAGAATTTTAAATTTGTCATTAAAAGAATGATTATGATCTAGAAGGTGAAGTGCGTATGTCGAATCTGTTTTTCTAACAATAACACCAGCTTTCCGAACAAATAACCTAGGCAAATATATTAAAAATAACAAGAGCCAAAATAAAAAACACTTAAATAGTGGTGTGTACAAACTTCAATGTGGCGACTGCCCAAAAACTTACATCGGTCAAGCTGGTAGAAACTTTGATAAACGAATAGCAGAACATAAAAGGGCTTTCAAGAATAGAATAACAGATTCGACATACGCACTTCACCTTCTAGATCATAATCATTCTTTTAATAACAAATTTAAAATTCTTCACATTCAAAATAAAGGCCTTAAGCTATCTTTGTTAGAATCTATGGAAATCAACAAATTAAAAAACACAGATATAATTCTGAATGACCAACTTGAGACAAACAGTTCTCCCCTCCTCAACCTATTTCATTAGAGACTATAAATTTGTAAACCCAAGCCAAAATAGATCATAGATCACTTGAGAAAGGCAATCAGCCGAAACAGCTGTAGTGATAATATTTAAAAAAAAATTTTGTGGAAGTTTGAAAACAAAGTTTTCAGTGTTTTATTGTTTATTTTGTAAATAATCTTGATGAAAACGCAATATGCATATGTGTCTAGCATCATTAATAGAGCAAGTTCAATAGTTTAAATATTTAGCCTCAGGGATAAATAAATTAAATAACTGTTAAATTATTTGACCGATCGGCGGGAAATGTACTTTGTTATGTAGAATGGAGTTCATTACTTTCTTCGATATAAAATACGTCAAAATCTGTATTTTATAATGTAATTATAAAATTTGTTGTAATTTGTAATAGTTTTGTTAATCTTTAGTCGGATAATATTAGCTAAGGTTTCTAAAATACTTTTATGACATTCTCTGTTCTTTTCTAGATACAAGGCGAAAGATGTGCTGGTCGGGTCCAAATGGTAGCTAATTCGATAGCATGGATGGCGAGGAATCTTTCATTCGATGAAAATTTCGTATCGCCTTTCGCAGAGAGTGCTTTTGCCAATGGTATTAATACAATAGGTAAGTTGTCTAAATAAGTAAATAGTTTATAATGAGTGATGATATTTGAGTATTTGTGTAATTTTTCAAATTATACAAACAGGCCAAAAATAAAGTAAGCAGTTGTATTATATGTCATTAAAGAACTGTTAACAGCAAAGTATTAATGTTCTTTTGAAAAACACTTTTAAAAAGTACACTCCAAATAAACTTTTATTTACACTAGCACAGATTTGAGTTACAATTAAAAATATATTATTTAGACTTCAAATACAAATATACTGTCAGAATAAAAAAAGTGGTTTTACAATGCTTTATTTATAATAAATACCCTTGCTGAATTTGCTGTTCTAGTACGTCTCAATTGGAATTGCAAGGTTCCAGCCAGAAGGTTCGGTGCTGATGCTGATAGGCGGTAATTTCTTATTGAATTCGCATGATCGAATATACTGGAGTCTAGCGGTCATTGTACTGTAACTAGCGTTAGAAAAGATATGAATAAGTTGGCTCCCCAAATTTCTGAATATTCACCGGAAGCGTAGAAGGGTAGAAATACAAAGGTATTTTATTTTGGCAGGACTTATGTCCCTGAAAGACTATATTCTAAAGAAAAGTATTGGGTCGAATCTATGAGACGAATTTGTGAATGACAATGGAGTGTGGAGAAGATGATACAACTTCGAACTTTTTAAAATATACCAGGCACTAGCTATTTTAAAATATTTTAAGATAGGATGTCTGAGGTGGCTAGGGCATGTAATGTGGATGGAACGAAATGACCCATCTAGAAAAAAGCTATTTGATAGACCCTTTGGTCAGAGAAGAGGAAGGTCTAGAATAAGGTTCCTTGATAACATCGGTAAATTCCGGAGAAATATAGGAATACATGCTTGGCGGTGGAAAGCGATTGGTAGATACGACTGGCGAAAAATTCTTGGGGAGGTTATTACCCACGCAGTGATATGAAGTCAGAAAGATGATGATGTGCCTACACAATAATCTCATGTTGTCATTAAAACAATAATTAACGATTTAGGGATAGGGGTCGAATTAATTCAACCTTATTCACCATTTTTGGCTTCGTCCGACTATCCCTATGTAATTCTTTACCGAAAAAGATCGTAAATGTTCTTTCAACGAATAGATAGAAGCTGTGGAGGTCTGGTTTAAATAGCAAGATAAAATAAAGGTCTAGAGGCTTTACAATTGGGTTGTCCTAATAAATGTGTATCCAAATAAGATAACCTATGGGTAAATGGCTCGCCTATTAACAAATAAATAACATTAAATATTACGATCACATCACACAAGAATCTTGTTTTTGTGTAAACAATTTTCTATTCTAATAATTGCCTTGATGATTCATGTATTCATTGATTTAATTAATAGTTCAACAGTTATGCATAACTTTGTGGTACTGAAAACAAAGCTATGAGTAATTTTATTATTTCAACTTTCCTTATTGTTACCATTAATAATTTTTATTGTTATCGATATTTGAATTATAAGCTATTAGGTTCAAAAATAACCCAAACTATATGAGGATACAAAATAATTTAATAGCTTAGTGGGAAAACGTGGTACGTGACTTTTGTGTTAAGTTTCGTTTTTATAATTAAAGCAGGTGGCACAATACGTGTATTTTAAACTTCTGCTGCTTGCTGGGCAATTCTAATGTCTTATAGTAACGGATATTCTAGTTGTTGAAGAAAGTATGTTGTGTATATTGTGCAATATATTATTCTGCAGGAAGGAATATAGTCCGGGTAGTATGAGCGCACTGGTAGGTAAAAAATATACCAAATGTTTGTACAATTATATACCGTTGCTTTTCGGGATATATAGACTTGACCAACGTCTAAACTTTAACGTCCGAATCCATGGACGTATAAACACAGATGGACTCAGTTATTTACATAAAATTGTGAAGTCAAAATTATTTGAATAGGTCACATTCTCAGCACCTTCAACTGTTGTCACGTTTTGTTTTAAAATTTCTTATTCGCGAGTCGCTGAAAATATTACTCCGTATTTTATACTCTACAGGTGCTATCAAACCAAAATAATAATTTATTGGTTAGATTAATATATTTAATTGTAATCAAAATATAAAGTGTGCATTATCATTTAATAATAGCGTATAATAGATATCAATCAATTATTTTATATGTAGAAGCACTGAAAACTATTTATAAATGGCAATGGTTGTTTACATTTCTCTGTCTTATGGATTTACGTCAAACTTCAAATGCTGTTCCATGTTTGTTTACTTTTTAGTAAAAGTTGTTTTTCGATATTTTGGCTGTATTTTGAGTGATATTTGTGAAAAGTGAAATAAAATAAACGAAATATTTACATCCCGATCTCTCATTTCATTTGTAAGTACATACAATTTACATTATTTAAGATGAGGAAATGAGGAAGCGTGTTTGTTTACATTTTAATAGGCGTACCATTGGGTTTATTCATGTTCATTAATGTATTGAATAAGATTTAAGTTCATGAAATTAGTAGACATTTTTAAATTGTAAGTAGACATCATCTGATTAAAAAAGATCTGTTTAGTACCTTTTTAATTTAATATTTCTCATGGATGCAAATAAATTAGTGAAATGAATAAAACTCATTTATTTTTCTATGTACGTTTCCAAATAATATTGACGATCGAACTATTTTGGTAGCAAATTTAGCAGAAAATATAAAGATTTTTTAGTGTAGCATTATTTTGATACCTAATAAAAATTAACTTGAATTCAACTATATTTTATTGTATTAATTTTAAAGCAAATAAAATTGTATTTTAATTTTTCTATAAAGACGTAATTTGTTAAAAGTTAAACTCTCGTTTTTTTTAAATTCTTTGAACGTGTTTTTATACATTATTACTACTTCCAATTTTTAAAATCTGAATAATTACCCGCGAGTAAAAATTCAAGCACGCTTATGCTCATTGCGGAAGCATCACATTCTATGGAAGCTTCAAAACATTGTGTGTTAAAGGTATCTTATTGCTGTGTCCATCTATGTTTATACGTCCATGTTCGAAACACATGAATTATTTTTTACTGTCTACAAACTGAATCTTGTCTTAATCGAAAAAGTTTACCATGGTTTAACCTGCTTATTTATAACAATTTTTCAAGAAATAAATTTTTTTGTTGAAACCAATTTATCCTTTCGTTCGTAATAAACGAGTCCCCGTATGGTAACTTACGGTAAACTTTTTACTGTAACATTTTAGCATCATATTTCAATTAAAACATGACTCAGCTTGTGTACAAGAAATAATCAGTCTATACATCTCGAAGCACAACGGTATATCAATTTGTTTTTGAATTTTTTAAACGACTTTTGCAATATACCTAAATCAAAATTGAATTACGTATTTTGAAACGACTTGACTTTTTTTATAAACGTTCATCTGATATTTTTTGTTTTCTTAAATTCGATGTTCAAACCAATGAAATATGGCTTCAAAAAACGATAAAATCGGATTTTTTTCGACATTTTTAATTCTTATTCGGGGACCATTCCTGAAACTGGGGAGCATTTTTGTTTGCAGTACTGTACTGGTCCTGTCGCATTGTTCCTTCGACAATGTAAAGTCTAGCAGTTCCTTGACTGCTTATGATAGACCACACCATGATGCTCAGAGGTGCTTTACCGTCCTTACAATACCATTCGCTTTGTATTTCCCCCAGATCTTCTCACAAATTTAGATCTATCCATGAGAATCTGCAGGGTAGATTCATCAAAAAAACCTGGACTATTATTATTATTTTAAAATCGTGGACAAATTGATCAACTGTAAACTACATAAAAGAAAAACAATGCAAGGTAATGTGAATCCCAAACGAAGAAATACGTCGTAGTACAAAAACTACAAACGCCATCGAAAAAATCGCGCCGCTAAAATGGAATTGGGCAGGACACATCGTGAAATTATTAGACAACCTATGGACAAAACGTATTGTCTAGTGGAGACCAAGACAAGAAGCAATACGTAGCAGAAGACCCCCACCAATTAGATGGACCGACGACCTGAAGGCGCGTAAGCAATATCAGGATGCAAGCTGCACAAGACAGATATGAAAAGAGCTGATGGAGACCTATGTCCAGCGGTGGACGCATACAGGTTGATAATCATTTTAACTATAGGTAATAAAGAAGTAATGTGTTCAAGGACAATAGGTCAGGCTTCGGTAAACTTAGATTCGGATATAGATTTTAGACGCATCAAAAAAAGTTTTCGATGACTAGGTTGACTGGCTGACCAGGTTTTACACAATTCGATGTATGTAGATTAAGAAGTTTTAATTACTCGAACCCTGGCCCAGTCCGAAATTTTAATTTCAAACATAGGAGGTAGAGTCATAGGAGATTTACGACTATGAATTAGTAGCTACGAAAGTATTAGGTCGGCTAGAGGATGAGTAGTACTGTGGGAGATAAAATATCACCTCTCGGTGATAGCTCATTTATTGATTCTTACCGGATGGGTTTAAAACGCTAGAAAATCGGAACAAGAAAGCAGGATTGGCAAGTTCAGGTAATTCTGTTAAGTGACTTTTGCCGAATTAAAAAAAAATTGTAGACATCACTCAGCATTTTAGAGAGTCTTAAAATCAAATACATAACTTTAATTTTACGAATAGTGTACTATTTTTATTAAATCTAATTTATTGTATTTATTTATTATAAAAGGGTTCTACACTTTTACAACACTTACAAGTTTATTAAAGTCTTTATTAATTGATATATACAATATTCACTAATTTATTTCACGATTTATTTCCGATTTACAATTTAAACTCGATATTCAAAACTAGAACTAACTCTGTTTAATAAAATTCCCTTTTTATATATCAAGCACCGTTAATCCCGAAGCGGCGGTGACCTTCTAGTGGATCCCGTGGATCTTCTTACTAGAAATGTCTGTCTACTGGTATAGGATCTAGAAAAGACTTGAATGGAATAGAATTAGAAATATGTTTTTAGTTATGAGTCATATTTATCGTAACAATAGGAAGAAAGATTAGCAAAAATAAATTACAATTTAGAAAATGTGTGAAATTTACTCGTGTAAAAAAATATAAGTCTTACATCTTTTGAAAAGAGCTTATTACATATTTTCAGAAGGTCAGTATTAACCCCAAATAGATAAAACTCCTTTTTCTGCTGCACAAATCTTCATAAGATGATTGTAAAATATAAGTTCGACGATAGAAGCAACGTAATGCTAAAAATTTGAATTTATATACATTTAAAATTTAATATAAAAAGTTGAAAAAGCAAAATATACTTCCATAGTAAATAAAAGTTTAACGGCTAGTATCTATGATATAACTTTTTGTTATTCCCTAGGTCCACTGAGCTCTTTAATTATATGCGTAGTATGGATGTACTTAAACCAATTATTATTAATAAAATGGTTTATACTGCTAATATTACTCATAATCAAATCTAGTTTATACTAGCCGTCAGTTGTTCTAAAGGAGTTACTACTAAAGTCTTCTTTTATTGATTTTTACTGTAAGAAAATTTATTTACGGTTTTATTTTGTATGAGTAAATTATTTAAAAAAAATTGTATATTGTGTGCATCAATCTCTCGTTTAGTGTTCATATGATTTCATGTGTTGTAATATGTACAGGGTGTCCCAAATTGACATGTTTTGCAAGGTATACCGAAACTTAAAGGAGATAGGAAAAAATTAAAATGCCATAACTTCTTTTTTCATTAAACAACCATTGTCCAATCAAATCTGTCTTAGCTGTCTTTCTCATCTTTATTCAGATAACGGCATTGCTTTGTTGACCATAGGAATTAAGATTTATTGCAATCCCATCTCTAGAGTATATTTATTATAATGTTCTAAAACTAATTTTTTGATTATTTTTTAGCTATACGAATAAATAAGTAAGTCAATAAGTAATATAAACTTTGAAAATAAGGCTATTATCGAGCACAAGTTAATTAAATCTAGCCCAAGTACTTTCGCTTAAAATAGCATCTTCAGGGGCATTTCGTCAAAATGTAAACTATCCGGCAAGCGTAGAATGTGGAAACATTAATAGTGACATAAAATTGTACAAAACACTACACTAAAACGAGTACAAACAGTTTAAAATTACTTAAAGATTCTACGCTACATTCTCTGTCAGTATCTGGAGGGATGGAGCATCCCTCCAGATACTGACAAAGAATGTAGCGTAGAATCTTTAAATTAATTTTAAACTGTTTGTCCTCGTTTTAGTGTAGTGTTTTGTACAATTTTATGTCACTATTAATGTTTCCACATTCTACACTTGCCGGATAGTTTACATTTTGACGAAATGCCCCTGAAGATGCTATTTTAAGCAAAAGTACTTGAGCTAGATTTAATTAACTTGTGCTCGATAATAGCCTTATTTTCAAAGTTCATTTATTCGAGCATTCAACCTCATTTCAATTAATAAGTAATATGTTTTATTGTCACTGAAAATTGTCCAAATTTCATGGACAAAGCTTATAACGATAAGACAAGAAAGAAGAAAAAAATCAGAATAAGAATCGTTTGTACTTATAAATAAAAAAAAAACAATAAAATTCTTCTAAACTTAAACATAAAATATACTACCTAATTAAGAACCTACAAACTTCGTAAAATGTACCTAACAAAAAATAAAAATTAGGAAAGCAGATTAATGAATTAAGGGCTCAAATATTTCACCTCCTTGTGCTAAACAGTAACCAAATCTGTCATACAGATTTCTCCTCATTTTTTGAAGTAGGGGTGTAATGCTTGTAGAAAAATGAAGTATTTTTGCCCTTAATTCGACTAGGTTTGTGGTCCTTTCAAACTGATGCCTATAAATGTTTTCTTTGAGAAACCCCCAAAAAAAGAAATCGTTAGGCGCTAAGTCACAGGTTCTAGCAGCCCATTTAATTGTATCACGTGTATTTATCAGTCGATTAGGAAACGTTTGATTGAGGAAGTCAATAGTTGCTCTGGAGTTGTGAACCGAACACCCATCCTATTGAAAATAAACCTCCTGAAAATTAACGTGAAGGCGTCGAACTGCCGGAATAATCTCATTCTGTAAAAATTGTAAATATTTGGGCCCGGTTAGGTTTCCATCGATAACAAATGAACCGATAATATGGTCGCCTAACTTCCCAATCCAAACATTTAACTTTTGCGGATGCTGCGTTCGCACTGCAACACTATCTAACATACATTCACAAAACTCCATCCGCCTAAAGTTATCTTACTGAAACAGTTCTTATGTTGGTTTTATCTTAAAACAGTGATACCCATTCCTTTTGAGAACTCGCTGGACAGTTTTAGCATTCACGTTAACTTCCCTAGCAATTTGTACACTATTGCAGAGTTCGCTAGCTTCCACAAAAGCACAAATATCAATATCCGTGTTTTGACGCTCGTCATCGACAGGTCTAACACGTGGTTCATTATCTTCATGACACTTTTTACAACTGTCTACGCATCCTGTTGTAACACTTGTAACTGTTGTAACACTTGGTGGGGTCTATTTTCGAAGGCAATAATAAAAAAATCAATTACTTCGCGTATCGAATGACTCTGAAAGTACCTTGTTACAAGTTGCACTTTTGCTTGGACGGTATACAATGTAATAGAATATTAATTATTTGTTTATTCTTTCAGAACTTCGTTTGAAATTTTTAATGTCAATGTGACAAATACGACAATTCGTACCTACTGTGAAATGAATATAGAGGTGGAAACGTGTAACATGTCACAGCAATAATTGCTGTTGTGTTGTATGGTCAATAAAACAATGTCGTGATCTGTATATACTATATATTTTATATTTTGGGTATAAGCAGTAAAGATTATTTTATTAATTACTTGATATTATATTTATTACAAATACATTGTAACCCAAGATGATACGTCAAAAAAAGAAACAAATACTTTTTATAACAACTATATGCATTTTATATTACAAATAATTTTTGAAGGGATTACTTCTGTTAGAGCACCATCTTTTTCATATCAACTTTGAAAAATAAGGCTATTATCGAGCACAAGTAAATTAAATCTAGCCCAAGTACTTTCGCTTATAGCATCTTCAGGGGCATTTCGTCAAAATATAAACTATCCGGCAAGCGTAGAATGTGGAAACATTAATAATAACATAAAATTGTACAAAACTTTACACTAAAACGAGGACAAACAGTTTAAAATTACTTTAAAGATTCTACGCTACATTCTTTGTCAGTATCTGGAGGGATAATTATTATACTGACAAAGAATGTAGCGTAGAATCTTTAAATTAATTTTAAACTGTTTGTCCTCGTTTTAGTGTAGTGTTTTGTACAATTTTATGTTATTATTAATGTTTCCACATTCTACGCTTGCCGGATAGTTTATATTTTGACGAAATGCCCCTGAAGATGCTATTATAAGCGAAAGTACTTGGGCTAGATTTAATTAACTTGTGCTCGATAATAGCCTTATTTTTCAAAGTTCATTTATTCGAGCATTCAACCTCATTTCAATTTTTCATATCAGTTGATATTAGCAAAATAGAACAGTAATTTAACAATGAGATTCTGATATTTGTTTTTGAATTTAACTTGATATGTGTTTTTTATATTTCAGGTGGAAAACCGGATGACATTACGGTGCTCCTAGCAACGGTTGCAATATGAAGCCTTAGAAAATTAGGTAGTTGATGATTTTGACGTCTTTTCCAACGTTTAGCAAATTACGATTTTTGCATTTCATTATAATTGTACTACCAAAACCGTCAATATAATGTGATCTTTTTCGTGTTTTTTATTTGTTGAATTTGAGTGTTTTTGATATTCCATAGGACAAACAAAATATAACTTAAAATGATTGATAAATCTATACTTAATTTTGATCTATCTGCTTCAAAAGTATGCAAGATTGAAATTGTTTGACAAAATAAATTAGTTGTTGAAAAATTAATAATATGTTACAAGTATTTGTGAAATATCAATATTGGTAGATATTATCGCAATAAAAACTTAAATGTGAGAATACGATTTGTTCGAACACAAATCCGAGACTTACAAAACGGTTTCACGCAAGCACAAATAATTCTATCACTGTTTTAATAGCTACATTGGTACTGGTAAATTTTTTAAATTTTGCTGGAACAGAATAAGGGAGTAAAACAGAATTGAAAAATTACACCATATTTATAGTAAAATAAATATGATTGTCAATAGAGTTCAAAGTATGTCTCAAATCAAATGAAAGCCCTCAATTATTTGATCAATTTGGGTATATCCTGAGCTAGTGAGCAGTCTCCGAAATAAAATAAATAAAAATATATATTTAGGTTACTAACCTAAAAAATGGATCGTATCTCGATTTTAAGAAATCTTTAGTGCTTCAGGTAAATACGAGTATGGTTATACTGTGCACATCAGAAGCACAAGCGAGTTATGCTGCTCAGCTAGAAGCTCAATGTGAATAGTACAGTTAAAAATAATACATTATCAGAAAGTGATGAATGTGTGATTCAAATTAAGCAGTCTACAACTGAATATGATATAAAGTTATTAATTTATTAGTATTACAATGATCTACGATGGATCAGAGTTTAAAATACACGATACTAACAAGAAAAAATTTCTTAAAATACGATAAAAAAGAGATCATAAAGACAAGCTAAAATCCCAATCAGGATTTAATAGATATAGGTTGTATACTAAATTGTTGTATTTTCGTAAATAACAACCAGATACATGACGATAATGATTGTTGGATAAATGATTTTAAAAAAGGAATTCGTCGAAAAATATCAATATTCTTCAATAATTATTTTTTGTATGTTCTATGGATCTTAGGTTGTACGTACTAGACGCTAATGTAAGTTATTCATCATCGTTGTAATTTATTTTTTTATTTACACATGTAGAATGATATGAAATAAAAATTAGTAAATATAAACAGTGCTTTTCCAAAACAGCTCTAGCAGCTATCTGAAAACTAATAGGGCAACTTAAAATCAAGATTACTGAATTAGTTTGGTACAAATATGCTCAATTGCATTTCAATCAAGATCTTTTAATAAGTTTTCAGATTGCCGTAGAAGCATCTATAGGGAGTTGTAGTTTTCTTTTTTATGTAAATACAGTAATATAAAAAGCTAATAGAACACCGTTATACAGTGCATTAATTCATAGATTGGGCATAACGGTCATATGTATAGTTCTAAACGAACTTTCCGTATACATAGGAATCCTGATAGGAACTCAAAGAATTAACAAATAATATTTAACATTGTATTTTATGCTGTCAAATGGGACAGGCGGATAACATGTTGCATATCGGTAACAGCCCTATATTTTATCCAGAAGTTGCAATATGTATTTTTATAAATTCGCTGATTTTTGCCGATCAGTTAATCGAGTGAAAGTGGTTTTATCTAATAATGAAAGAGTTTTTATCGTCAAAAGTTGTATTCCGGTTTTTTGATCAGGGAAGTTCTCTGTAATTTTGCGTTTTCGTTCAAAAATGGTCGGCTAAGAAAACTGCTAGTTGTAAGAAAATAAGTCAAATAATATCACATTTGTGTTACTTATAACGGAATTAACACTAACTTCCTCAATAGTATCACAGTAACATTACTAAAAGTGTGAGTGGGTGTAGACCACGGATCGGCTACCTTTTCCTATATAAAGGCCGCAAATATGAGAATATTTGTTGCGGGTAGAATATTTCATCTAATAAACACCATTAAGTACTTAAAACTTATAAAGTTAAGGTAATTTTTGAAGTTGTACCCTACTTGAAAGTTGTTTAATGTCTGCTTCGATTTTAGAAATAGAAACACGCATCGGATCGGAACATCTAGATCCATATCGGATCTAGATGTTCATCGGTCGATGGAGGATAATAGATATGTACCACCAAACGTTGTAATCTGCTTAATAAACTTTTATAAAAGTGTACGTATAAAAGTTAACGTTTTCCTTACATCCTTTTCAGTTGGCTTTTCTCTGAACCACCTCACTTCACTTCACAGTAATAAACCATGTCACCATAGTTAACTTCCAGATCTTCCAGGAGCTTTTAACATACATTGTGCTAACACATTTTTTCTAATAAAATTGACAGTATATATTACAGTGGCCATTATTTCTTTCCTTGGCGTAAAGCGCCTATTGATGAACAATACAATGAAATATCAAGAACGCAGCTGATCCTTAGTTGAGTCTTTCTGTTAGGTATGATTCTCCTTTTACCTATGTTTTGTCCGCTCATGTTCTTAACTACGCCAGTAGTAAACACTTCATCAACTTTCCTCAGCTTAATTGTAAAATCTCAATGGCTGGTTCCAAATGACTGTATAAATAAATATATATCTTTTATATAATCGTTGTAAAATTCATTAAGGTAGCACGCCTTAGATGGATAGGTCATGTAATCAGACGAGAGGATGCCATAGTCAGAAAAGTTTTTTACCGAAGAGGGCCGATCGGACAACGAAGAAGAGGAAGACCGAGACTTAGGTACCAAGACAACCTAGAAAATGATTTGAAGTCTATCGGAATTAGAGCATAGAGAAGAGTTGCCAGAGACAGGGGCGAATGGAGGATTGTTCTGAAGAAGGCTTTGGCTCATAAAGAGCTGTACAGCAGTACTTTTCAAACTGTACATTTTTATAATCTCTTCGCAAAGATTAAGTTTTCGTCAATATCACGTACAAATAAGAGGAACTGTCCTGTAGCTGATACGCCCGTACTTTCGTCTACTACTAGAGAGAAACGATAAAAAGACTGTGATTTATCTTTAAAAATTAGCTCCACAATATAAATAAATAAATAAAAGATAAAGCAACCGATAAATAAATAGTAATAAATACACATGCAAAGGGTAAAGCAATCAATAAATTTTACAACGTACCCTATACTTTGTAACAAATTGAGCGAGCAGGAGTGAGGAAGCGCAGAAGTGGTGATGACAGGTCTAGAGAGCTCAGCGCGCATGTGATGGGTAATATAATTATCCGTGAAACATTACACATGAGCTATGACTACCTCGCGCTCGCAATGCACATTCTCAAACGAAAGAGGGATCATATCGTGTAACAATCTAACAGTTTTTAGACTGTGATCGTTTGAACTGAATCCTGCTTCCGTGCACAGAAAACAATGAAATAATAACTAATTTCTAGTGTTTTTAATTAATTACTCGGTGTGGTGCGTATGGAATGTCGCTTACTTGCATAATGATTTGCGAGCCGCTGGTTGCCGACCCAACTTGTAGACTAATCTGTGCGACGTTGCCAGATTTATCGATTTTATATTTACTTCTTGAAGTTAAAACCTTGTAGAACCAGATTATTAACGAAATTACTGATCATATGATTGTGGCGTAAGAATAGCGTTTTTTGGTGAAGTAAGCTTTGTTTCTAAGTCAAGATAGTTTGTTTTATTTCTGTAACAGTCTACTGCAACTTTTGTGCATATAATTTGGATAGTTTTTGCAATTGATACAAGGTTATCAGAACATCGTGTAGTTTAGAATGAACGCGTGTTTAATAACGTGCTAGAAAATCTAAAAACACTTGATCGACTTCAACCTTAAACGGTGTGGATCTTAGCGCTTCTGAATACAACACCTTTCCTCAGAATGCCGAAAATTTTAATAACAATTACAATAGATCTACAAAGTCGGGAAAACATGAAAGCTATAAATAGTGGACAGATTTGACAAGCACCCTTAGTTAGCGAAAGACAGTTAACGATGAACATTGTCGCATCGCCTTTGATAATGACTGTCGCAGTCAGAGATGCAACATCAGAAATAAATAATTCCAGTCTATAGTCTATGAACTCAAAAAATGTATCATTAGAAAAATAAACTACGTAAACGTTGTTTGGATGTATTTAAGGCTGAGTATAGCTGTAATGTTACCTTATTATTTGTAGACAGTAAAAGTTTCGATTTGTTTAAAATTAAAATGAATCAAAAATAGCAGCTTGACGCAAAAGTATTCAGAAATGTTTCTGAAGTTCAATATTAAGTAATAGATTTTTTTATTTCCGAAGCGTCTAAGATGCATATTCTTTAACCAAATGTGAAAAAGGCGTTATCGCTTTAGTATTATGTGGTTTATTAAACCGAAATAAGAATACGAAAATAAACTTTCGATTCTATAGATTATGCTTATCTGTCCAGTTTTAGATTCAAGAACTTGTAATAGCAAAAAACTGACGACGGATTCCGATTTAGCACTAAAAGTTATCACGGCAAAAATTGTCAAAACAGATACAAACTTAATGTTTTGGGAAAAGCAGAATAATTTCGTACTTCCGGTTTTGAAAAAATTAATAAAAACTATATAACTCGCAAATGACCATAGATAGACTTATTTTGGCAACATATTCGTGATAAGGCAAAAATACGTCTAAAAACATCTTGGTTAACTTCCAATCATAACAATTTTTCACTTCTGGTGAAAATTTTAAACTTCTGGTTTATTTTAGATGTAGATTTAGTCGTGGAACATGCAAAACTTCTTGAAGAATTAGAAATTCTCATTTAAAAAGATTCCTTATTGATTCGAAATAATTTCGATTCGTAACTTTGCTTGTAAAAGAAAAGTTCGCACAGAAAAATTGTTATAATATAGCTCCTTTCTATCTAGGTTAAAAACAAAGAACTTTACTTGTATGCCTAATTCAACAATTACTGCACTGTATAATAAATACGTGTGATATCTTTGTGAATTCACTATCTGTGTGGATGTTTTTAATTTTACCAAACTCAGTATATCTTAAATCTA